ACGCCGCCGTAGCTTTAGGAGCTCATAATGCCATATTAGAGCTGATCCATAGATGCTGGTTACTTGTTGTTCCTACAGTCTCAGAAAGTAGGATGGGAGCCTTCAGGTATCAAGCTTCTCTTCTGTGGAACCAGCTTCCACTTTCAGTCCGGGGGGCCGACAGTCACCTCGTTTAAGATGAAGCTTAAGACTTTCCTCGTAGATTACGCAAAAAAGTGTAGCGTGGCGCATGGGGTAGGGTGGGTGCGCTGGGAACCGAAGGGTTGTTGGTTAGAACCCCGGCTACTCCCGGCTATGTCCCGTGCTGAAGTGTCCCTGAGCAAGACACCCAACCCCTAATTGCTGCTGGATGGGTGAAGTGCAGAGAGGAGGTCGGTGTGTCCTAAGAAGTCCCCCGGCAGTGTAGGCCTATAGCAGCTTATATAAGAATTCACATCTCATTGATGCAAATCTGGATCTGGTTATATCTGGACCCAGCGTGGTCCTGGTCCTGCTGTGTCTGCTGCTGCTAGCGTTATTATATTAGTCACAAAATAAAATGAATTGAATTGAATTGTTAACTACAGATACTTTCTAGAGAGCTTTAAATAGAGTGCATATTGAATTTATTGTGCTCCAAACAATAACCCATTATATTGTTGTGTTCAAAAATGAAGAAACGCCGGACGGACAGAGGTCATCGCAGATCAAAAGGTTAAAATCAAATGTATTTAATAAAAGAGATGGTGTTGTGGTAAAAAGAACATCTCAGCTGAGGAGCCGCTGGTCTCAGCAGCCAACAGGCCCCAGGTCAGTCCTTTGACCCCCCATAGTGCCCGTCTGTCGCCTCCACCAGCGAACTCCAGAACAATGGTTCCTACAGGTATTTATAACAATGCTTAAAGGTGTGAAAGTCAGTGTCCACACCTCTGGGAGTCTTCTGGTGAGTTCAATGGAACTCGGATTTCGAATGACCCTTAGTCAATATCAGTTGTTGTTCAAGTATTACATGCATGCGTTCCAGTTGATTACATTACATCAAATACAATCATAACTACATTGGTATTATTCTATTACAGTTACAGAATTACAGTGGTTTTACAATATTGTCATTACTTTATGGATTACAGTACACTATATGCATTTTATTAATTTATGACCCGGGTCATCAGTTTATTTCTAATATCCTACAATATCTTGGCAAGTTTCCTGTTCAATGAGTTTTCAGCTCGTCTCATTGGCATTTGGGGACAGAAAAATCAATGAATACATGTTTTCAGCTGCACTTATCAACATGGTTTTGATCACAATTTTCCATCCACAAAAGACTCCATGACTACAGGCCCGTCGCCCTGACCTCTGTAGTCATGAAGTCTTTTGAACGGCTAGTCCTGACCCACCTGAAGTCCCTCACCGACCCCCTCCTGGACCCCCTGCAGTTCGCCTACAGAGCCAACAGGTCTGTGGACGATGCTGTCAACATGGCCCTCCACTACATCCTCCAGCATCTGGACTCCCCAGGAACCTACGCCAGGATCCTGTTTGTGGACTTCAGCTCTGCTTTCAACACTATCATCCCATCTCTGCTGCAGGACAAACTCTCCCAGCTGCACCGCCCGACTCCACCTGCAAGTGGATCACAGACTTCCTGTCTGACAGGAAGCAGCACGTGAAGCTGGGAAACATGTCTCAGCCTCCTGGACCATCAGCACCGGTTCCCCTCAAGGCTGCGTTCTTTCCCCTCTGCTCTTCTCCCTGTACACCAACAGCTGCACCTCCAGTCACCAGTCCGTCAAGATGGTGGCTGACCCCTCTCACCCCGACAAAACCTGTTTGTGCCCCTTCCATCTGGCAGGAGGCTGAGGTCCATCAGGACTAAGACCTCATCAACAGAGCCGGTCCCCCACTGACTGACTCTGACGTCCCACCGGTCACTCCCTTCACACTGCACATGCACACACGCACACACGCACACTCACAACACAGTTGTGTAGTGTATAGTCATCACTTGTGCACTTTATTTTTAGATTGTCTGTTCTATACCCCCTTAGCACATTGTCTTTTTATTCCGTAGTTAAATTGTACATTTGTAAATTGAACATGTCATTTTCTTGCACTAAGTTGTCTTATCTGTCTCGTTGTCCATCGTCGTACTGATGTCACGCACCAGCCGCCAAGTCAAAGTCCTCGTATGTCCGACGTCCTTTGGCAATAAATGTGATTCCTTTCCAGTAAAATAGATCACTGTTACAGAAGGTCATAGGCGAGGGTGCGATTCCTGCTGTCTGTTCCAAGCCAACTTGTTCTTTTCCTACATCGAGAGACCCGGTTCAGAACCACAGTTGATTACACAGTACTTCACCGGTCCAGAGTTAACGGTTCTATCGGTACTTTAGAAGTTATGGAGTGCGTAAAAAAAACTCCTGCATGTGTGTTTGGAGTTGTGCCTTACTGACACACACACACACACACACACACAGTGCTCTTTCTCCCCTGGTATCAGATAAACACACAAACCAGTAACGCACAGCTTCTTTCAGACTCAAATTCAGGATTATACGACGTAGTCAAAAGTCATTTTCCATGAAGCAGCAGGAGAATCACTGGCTTCCACCCATCGATTGCAGTGATCCAGGGTCCTTCTATCAGAGTGATTCTACTATTTAATCTGCTGCTGCACTAAGACGTCAGCCTACAAAGGGGTCGCTTCCCCCACAGCGACCAGGGCAGATCTGGATTAGTTACTGTATGAGGGGGATCTCCGCTCTGTCTGTCTTGCTCCGGCTTGTTCGACACGTCCCTGCATGACGCACGTTTATGGAATGTGATTAATCAACCTTTGACATAAAAATGACAACTTTGGCACAAGAAGAGGTTGTTAGCAGCTGTGTGTATACATCCAGTGACATTTCACACAAGCAGCCGAGAGGAAAATCTCTGACAGGTTGAAATTATTAGTCGTTTATTTGGGTTGGGGTTAAAGGAGCAGATCCTCCTTCAGCGTCCATCGAAGGAACACTGTGTAACATTCAGGGATTCATTGGCAGAGATGGAATATAGAAACCCTCTCACTAGTGTAAAAGCACCGGGACTAAGAATCCTTGTGTCTTCTTGGTCATCTTACCGTCATACGTCCAGTAGGCCGCGATTAAAAGTTTGTTTTTCTTCTTAAGACAAAATCTTAGTAATGAGTTATGACTTTAGAAAGCGTGCATTTTAGACACTGTCGTTTAAACACAAAACGTACTTTGATTACCTGGGAGGCAGAAATCCACCTGGTGGAACATGTTGAACCAGCGACTCTTCCTCGTAAAGCCCTCAAATGTCATTTGTGATTTTGGGCTTTACTAAATAAGATTAACTAATCATATCTAAATCTTTCCCAGGATGGTCTGCCATGCAAAGCCAGAGATCGAGTGACTCTACGCGAACGTCACTAGCAGTGAAACGTCCCTCCTGACCGACCGTTTGCTATGATGCTGCTCGCTTCTCTCTTCTCCTCCTCCCTCTGTGATCTTTACTGTCTCCTTTCTCCTCTCCTCTGCTTTCCTCTCCCATCTCCTCTCGTCTCCTCTGTCCTCACCCCCCCCCCCTCCTCTGCTTGCAACGTGAACATCTGTATTATTCAGTGTTTCCAACAATGAGAGACGGGAAATAAAGTTCAGGAATCACTAGAGTTGTACGTGACGTCCATAAGGCCTGATTTACTACAGGTTGGTTGTTGAGCTTCAGCTGTTATTGAAATATGGATGTTTTTGACACTAGTCTGTAACTTGAATGAACAAAATAAGCTGTACTACGCACCTGAACATGGATCCAGATATATTTGACCGGGTATCAGTAGAGAGGCAGCTCAAGAAGACCAGGCTGAGCAAGGTACTGGTTGCTTTGTTCCTGTTGGGAGATCTTCTTGTCGTGGATGTACACTGCCGGCCTGCTGGCTGCAAGTACGGCTCCTGGCGACCCGGCGGTCACCAGCCCTTCCCCGGGTTCCCGATCGCCCGCCGGCCCCGGCACGCTTCCTGACCCGCGGGGCGGGAGTGATGGAGGTGAGGGCAGCCGGGGAGTGGCCACTGATGGAGGTGGGCCAGGCAGTGCGGGTTAACGGGCCCCCAACACCCTCCCCCAGTTACGGATGGGTACCGTTTGGGGGTTTCTGATACCGGTGCCTAAACCAACACTTTTTCTTTTCATTGTTTTGTGCTTTTAAAAAAAAAAGAAAAAATTAAATTAAAAAACCCTATTTCTTCAAATTGAACAATATCTTAACACTTGGCTTCAAACTACGGCTTTGAACGTTTTAACTTCAAACTATGAAGAAAATATGAGCTGTTTACAGTTTACAGCAGCGGTGCTTTAAGCCACTACATCATGAGTACAGTCATATGATTCATATCTCAGCAGCAGGTGTCAGGACCAGGGTCCAGAAGGAACCACGATCTACGGAGACCTGCTGGGGGAGGAAGCACAAAAAACTGAGTCATGTGCTTTAATAAAACGTGGATTATTGTAGATTATTGAGAGCGTGAGAGGAGCTGGGTGTTGATGACCGAATCTGCCCCCCGGACTGAAAGTGGAAGCTGGTTCCACAAAAGAGGAGCTTGATAACTGAAGGCTCTGCCCCCAGCCTGCTTTTTAATACCACAGGAATATGGAATATTATTCCATATGGAATAAAAAGTACTGAGAAGTAGTTTAAAAATACTCAAATGATATAACAAGAATAAATGATGGGAGAACTTGTACTCGATGAGGTCATCTCATGTCCAGTGTGTCTGTTCACTCGTCAGCTGATGTTTAAACATTAGTCCATTCAAATAATGATTTAATAACTAATGATTACAAAGTAACTAAGTAAATAAAGGCTCCTTCATTTACTTTTCCTTGTGACCCACCAGTTGAGAACCGCTGCTCTGAACTATTGGACGTGTGTCTGTCAGCGAGTGATTGACAGGTGAGCCCTGTTCACCGTGGTCCTCTGAGGAGGATCAGCAGCTCTGAAGATGACCGACTACACAAAGTACTTTTAGGAACGATTTATTGGCCGTACTGTGTCACATGTGTTTGTGTGAGACGTCGTGAACTAAACGGCTGTGTGTGTGTGTGTGTGTGTGTGTGTGTGAGCGCGTGTCAGATGCACACGGTCCGTGTTGGATGATGCACGTGGCGACTTACTGACTTTATTTTACATGAGAGAACAGTACATGTAGTGTACACTCACCAAATATCAAAGTTACACCTACAAAGCATTTACCGCTGGTCAACGAGGTAAAACAAACTTGTGTATGTAGAATGTGTGCGTCAAAAACACTGTGTAGTCAGCAACTACGTCAGCAACTACGTCAGCAACTACGTCAGCCTTCGACCAGAGCTGAAAAAGGCAGAAGACGACTTCTTTAAGTTAGCAAGAAGGTTACAGTGAAGATGGATATTATTGTGACTGGTTCCATAGAACACTGGTGTTGAAATGTCATTTAGTGTTTAACTGGCAGACTGACTGGTTTATTTATGCTTCCTTCATGAAATCATTGTTATTGCTGCAAAAGCCGACGGACACGAGCGCGGATCAATGACAGCGGCTGCACTGGGATCAGCTGCAGGGACAGACGGGTGGACAAACCTCGCCCTGGATTCACGTACTCCTGATTATACGACATGTACCATCTCACAGCGTTCTGAAACTACACCACTTTGTGAAAGGACGACGCTCGTCCACCCGCCTCAGTCCGTGACGCAGTAACGCCGCTTCTCGTTGTTTACAGGGACGTTTCCTACTTTCCTACAAAGAACTGTTTTCCCCCCAATGCAACGAAGACCAGACGGATAATCTAAGTGAGATCAAGGGACACGAGGCGTTTTACATAAGGTGTCTCTGCTCTTAGAAGAAGGACGTGTCTGAGGAGAAGGCCCCAGCCAGCCTGAACTCCTCCTTCATCAGCACGCAGAAGAGGCGCTGCGGCAGAGCTTTGGAGTACGGCGCCGGCCGAGGGACACACGTTCGCAGCAGGATCTCCCGGCCCGCCGGAGAAGGGAAGTCAGGCACTTTGTGGCTTCCCCCTGTGGGCTTCTGGTCCCGGCACAAGTCATCGTCCAGCGGTGGCAGGAGGGCAGCCTGAGGGTGGGAGGAGGACACGTTACTCGCTGGCACCACATGAAGGGTCTTATTCTGACGTCTGTGACAAACACAAGCTTTGACACCAACTAGGACACTTTAGTCTTTTCCAACCGACGGATGACGAAACATCTGGAGCTCCATTGTAGGACCAATTACGTGTAATAGAATGCAAACCAATATAGTACCTGTGGAACGTTCTCATTCAATGTTATTTATTTTATTTCCCAAGAAACACCCGTTGCATTTCCAGCATTATCGGGACCGGAGGCCACTGAAAGCCGGTCGAAGCGCTTTTGTTTTTCGAAACATTATTATTCGCTTCAATCGCACTTTTGAGGCCTTTCCCATGTTCAAAAATTCTGAAAATTTGGCGTGCGCATCGGAACTGCAAAACATTTAGATATTTTTCGGGTTTGCGCATTTGGGTATAAAGCTCTATAGCGCCCCCTAGAAAACTGGCATGTTTGCGCTGCAACCAATCGCCGGATATTTGCATTCTTTCCGTATTTTAACAAATTCTCGTAGTTTGGCTTTATAAAGAAACTAAGAGTTTAAATCCGATCAAGTCGGGCAGTGTGATCGTGACGCCTTTGTGGTCAACAGGGAAAAATGGCACAGCTCCATTTTCCTCAAAAGGTTCTCAAACACATTCTCAATTCTGACATTTCTTATTTAAGTGGCTTGTGTGGGCTGTGTGACACATGTGTGTTACCATGATTTATTATTAAAGCGTCACCTACTGGCAAAGGGAAATAAGTTTTACCCTTTGATGTGCTACTGCCAGCCATTTAACCAGATCAACTTAAGACTGACCAAGTTTACCAAGAATATCGGTACAAAAAACTGATTAAAAGTTAAGAAAATATTCTTGTTTCGTGTTTTATGAAAGACGCACGTGCTTTAAAAGTGACGCACACGTTTAAACTATTTTAATGCTTCAAAAGGACAACTGAGGACACAATGTAACAACATACATAATATTTTTTCAGCCTTTTCCAACAAACTCAGCAGTGCTTTCATGCACAGACATGAAGGTTGAACTACTGAGTAGTGTAATAAAGACTGACACGAGAAGAATCATTAGCCATGCGAGACATGGGGATGCTTTTTGCTGGAGTTCTACTTGACAAGGTCATGCTTAGTGTCCCGGGGACAGAGCGGTCTGTCCCAAGTCAGGGTGCTTGTCTTCAAACACACTCAACACTGTGTGGACGTTGCAAACGTCATCCGGAGGCCACGGGCAGAGACCTTCTCACCCGATTCAGCTGTGCAGATCTTTCCTCCATGTCAGGAAAGTAGGATTGAACATATTACTATGTGTATACTATGTGTATAACTACGTGTATAACTACGTGTATTACTATGTGTATACTATGTGTATAACTACGTGTATAACCATGTGTATTACTACGTGTATACTATGTGTATTACTATGTGTATACTATGTGTATAACTACGTGTATAACCATGTGTATTACTACGTGTATACTATGTGTATTACTATGTGTATACTACGTGTATTACTATGTGTATACTATGTGTATAACTACGTGTATAACCATGTGTATTACTATGTGTATACTATGTGTATAACTACGTGTATAACCATGTGTATTACTACGTGTATACTATGTGTATTACTATGTGTATACTATGTGTATTACTATGTGTATACTATGTGTATTACTATGTGTATTACTATGTGTATAACCATGTGTATAACTACGTGTATACTATGTGTATAACTACGTGTATACTATGTGTATAACTACGTGTATAACCATGTGTATTACTACGTGTATACTATGTGTATTACTATGTGTATACTATGTGTATTACTATGTGTATTACTATGTGTATTACTATGTGTATAACTACGTGTATAACCATGTGTATTACTACGTGTATAACCATGTGTATTACTACGTGTATTACTACGTGTATTACTACGTGTATTACTACGTGTATACTATGTGTATACTATGTGTATACTATGTGTATACTATGTGTATAACTACGTGTATTACTATGTGTATAACCATGTGTATAACTACGTGTATACTATGTGTATAACTACGTGTATACTATGTGTATAACTACGTGTATAACCATGTGTATTACTACGTGTATACTATGTGTATTACTACGTGTATACTATGTGTATAACTACGTGTATAACTACGTGTATACTATGTGTATTACTACGTGTATAACCATGTGTATTACTATGTGTAGTACTATGTGTATAACTACGTGTGTAACCATGTGTATTACTATGTGTATAACTACGTGTATAACCATGTGTATTACTAAGTGTATACTATGTGTATAACTACGTGTATAACCATGTGTATTACTGTGTGTATACTATGTGTATACTATGTGTATAACTACGTGTATAACCATGCGTATTACTATGTGTATACTATGTGTATTACTATGTGTATAACTACGTGTATAACCATGTGTATTACTATGTGTATAACTACGTGTATACTATGTGTATTACTATGTGTATACTATGTGTATAACTACGTGTATAACCATGTGTATTACTATGTGTATAACCACGTGTATTACTATGTGTATAACTACGTGTATAACCATGTGTATTACTACGTGTATAACCATGTGTATTACTACGTGTATACTATGTGTATTACTATGTGTATACTATGTGTATTACTATGTGTATAACCATGTGTATAACCATGTGTATAACCATGTGTATACTATGTGTATAACTACGTGTATACTATGTGTATACTACGTGTATAACCATGTGTATTACTACGTGTATACTATGTGTATACTATGTGTATAACCATGTGTATTACTACGTGTATACTATGTGTATACTCATGTGTATTACTACGTGTATTACTACGTGTATTACTACGTGTATACTACGTGTATACTACGTGTATAACTACGTGTATAACTACGTGTATACTATGTGTATAACTACGTGTATAACTACGTGTATTACTACGTGTATAACTACGTGTATAACTACGTGTATACTATGTGTATTACTATGTGTATTACTATGTGTATACTATGTGTATTACTACGTGTATACTATGTGTGTTACTATGTGTATAACTACGTGTATTACTATGTGTATACTATGTGTATAACTACGTGTATAACTACGTGTATAACTACGTGTATACTATGTGTATTACTACGTGTATACTATGTGTATTACTATGTGTATTACTATGTGTATTACTATGTGTATAACTACGTGTATTACTATGTGTATAACTATGTGTATTACTATGTGTATAACTACGTGTATAACTACGTGTATAACTACGTGTATAACTACGTGTATACTATGTGTATTACTATGTGTATAACTACGTGTATAACTACATGTATAACTACGTGTATTACTATGTGTATAACTACGTGTATAACTACGTGTATAACCATGTGTATTACTATGTGTATTACTATGTGTATAACCATGTGTATACTATGTGTATTACTATGTGTCCTCGTCCCTTGAGCCTTTAGCTCTGTCACTCTGCAGGTCACCTGGCATGTTGATTGGCAGGAATGGGTTGAAACGTTCCACAGGCTGAATACGGGAATATTTGGATCATTAACAGTGAGGTTTCACATTTATGGTCATGATGCTACGAGGCATCAGGATATCCCATAATAGACAAAAGCACTACACAGAGACTGCAAACGTTGGTGAATAAATACACGAGCAGTCAACTGAATGTCGTGGACACGAGGACGGAGGTTCAGCCACTGACGAGTTTCTTCAGAAGAAAACATTTGTTATTTTTATTTTGGAGGTCGACGGTGAAGCTCGAAGGTTGTTGCCGACTGGTTTAATCGATCTCAGTGAGACTTATTGCCTGAATAATGGACAGGCTGAAGCTATATACAAACATATTTAGTACATATGAAAAGGCAACCCCCATTATTACAAAATGTAAATGTTATAATTGGAGCAATAAATTGGTAAAATGAATAAAAAAGGTCCCTTGGAGGCTCGATTGCTTGAGTCAATCATTTCTGCGTGTGTGTTGCTGAGGGTTACGGCCTACTGGTCCTCTACCACTGACTATGCTGGTTGCTGGAGCTGTACTGGGAGTTACCTCGTCACTGGTGAAGTCAGCCAGCTTGATGTAAGCAGCAGGGGAAGAAACAACACACAAATAAAGTCCAACAGAGGAAACACATTTAAAAAAGAAGCACGTTGTGAATGTTTATCTTGCATACGTCTTCACCCCCCTGGACTTTAGATGTTTTCCTGTTTGATCAACTCCACATGCAACGTACTGAAAGTAATCGTGACACAAACAATTATGAGAACAAAGTATTCACTGTATTCCCTGAGTCAATAATTGGTTAAAGCCCCTTTGCTGTAATTACCAAGTCTCTTTGGGTACGTCTTCACCAGCTCTGCACATCTGGAGATGGAAATGTCTGGATTGGATGGAGACCTCGTTAACCCCCCCTGCGTTAAACCGCGTTAAACTGCGTTAAACCTCATTAAACCTCATTAAACCGCATTAAACCCCCCCACGTTAAACCTTGTTAACCGCATTAAACCCCATTAAACCCCCACATTAAACCATTAAACCTTGTTAACCGCATTAACCCCCCCCGCGTTAAACCTCGTTAAATTGCGTTAACCCCCCCCTCACCCGCTGTGAACCACATTAAACCCCCCTGCGTTAAACCTCGTTAAATCGCGTTAAACCTCATTAAACCGCGTTGGACCACATTAAACCCCCCCGTGTTAAACCGTGTTAAACCTCCTTAAACCCCCCCCCCGTGTTAAACCGTGTTAAACCTCCTTAAACCCCCCCCCCCGTGTTAAACCGTGTTAAACCTCCTTAAACCCCCCCCCCCCGGTTGTCGCGGAGTCTTTCCAATGGACACATTTCCTTGAGCCCGATGCTCGGCCCGCTCTGTGCCCTTTGCACTTGGTATTATTTTTGTGAAGGCAATTGGCTGCACTGGTTTCACAGTAAACTTTCCCTCAACTTCTAGATGGACTATTTGATGCAATGAAATGCATATGAATCTGTGACAAGATGTAGAAAAGTCCAGAGGGGGGGGGGGGGGGGGTGAATACGTATGCAAGGTGCTGTACATTAGTGTCGTAATGCAAAGGAGCTTAACGGCTCTAAAGCTCCATCAAAAAAGCACAGCTCCACTCAGAAGACGTGTTGCATCTATGGGAATGAATTGGTGAGCTGCTTACCCTCTGAGCGTTGACAAACAGCCTGTGGATGATGCTGCCGGCCGGCCCCTGCCCGCCCCCCATCACCACCACCTCCGGCTCCTCCAGCAGGGAGCTCACAAACCTGGAGGAACACGGGGAACGTCGGTGGGTCAGTGCACCTGGGTCACCTGGTGGAGAGCGTCCACTAGTACATTCCAGTCCCATTCACATGTGGGCCCACTCCACCCTCCTCCTCCTCCACCACCACCACCATCCCCACCACCACCACCATCCCCACCATCCCCACCATCTCCACCATCCCCACCTCCTCCTCTTCAGAAGCTAGATCAATGTCTCAGTACGCCACAAATACATTTACAATCATTTCTATTGGCAATTTGGAGAATTTACAGATCTTCAGTCCTATATTTTTGACTTAAAAAAGTAAACGGTAATGTTCAACCGTTTATTTACACAAACACCAGCAGACAACAGCTGTTGATTAACTGATCTCTACAACTTACTTCTCCAGCTCCTCTGCGTCCTCCTCCTTCCCGCCCTCACAGCTGGCAAACTTGGCCTTGAGGGAGCGAGCTCTGGTGATGGCCGTCTCCATGAGCATCAGCTGATTGATGAAGTCCTACACACACACACACACACACACACACACACACACACACACACAATGGAGGAAGTTCACATTAGATTGTACTCCATCGCAATGGCAGGTAGAATGACGTCTACATGTGTCAGCATCATCACAGCTTCTCTTTGCTCCCTTAAAAGGAAACTGTAATTTAGGGGAAGCAGGTCTTCTTCTAAGGCTCCGTCCATCTTGGACCACCACGTATCCACACTGGCTTCATGGAGAGAGTAACATTCTGTATTGGTAACACTAATGTGCTTTGTCTGCAGCCAACTAGTAGTGGAAAACACCACGATGACTCTTCATTGAGTCACCAGGCTGACGATCAATGGCTGTACAGGCATTCCTCACCACCGATGGGAGGAGCTACTGTCCAACGTACAACCTGCTGTAGGCCCGTACCTCCTTTTGTATGTCTTACGAGTAGAGAGCACGGCGTGTGTTGTGTTTCATTATGCAATGACTGAAGACGCCTCCTGGGACCGAGCAGCTTCTGGGCTCACTGACCTCTAGCTTCTTGTAGTCATGGTTGAGGGGGTGCAGCAGCTTGCTGGCTTGGCCCGTAGCTTGCTGAATGGTCTTTCTGACTGATGGAAGGTCTTCTATGGACTCTGAGCGGGGGATCCAGAGGAGAAGGAAACCAAACAATCGGAGATGAATGGTCATGTGGAAAATGTCCCACATTGAGCTGTAAGCGATGTCCTACGTCATCACACTTTGGATTGAATGTCATCGGCTTCTTGCATCATGACAAGAGAAACAAACCCTGAAAAGCACAGCTACATCTAATGAACTATTGTTAAGTAACAGTTACATAATGAAATAAATAAGCAATCTGTGCACCAACGAATCGGCTTTACATCACGTCAGCTCTCGCTACGTACTTATTGAGTGACAGCATCCAACCCTAGAAGCACCCTTTGCTGTGTGTGAGCTGCTGCTCAGTTCTCTTCCTGTCGCCCCTCCTTCAGGCGGGACTGTCCTACCAGCACCCCTTCATTAGCAATAACGAGAACAAGGTTGTGGTTCTCTCAGAGAGACGCAGTGTACCGTAGACACAGTTACTGGTCTCTACTCCACTTAACGGAGCGTAGATGCACACGTTGTCCACTCTGCGCTCTCAGGCTTTTACCGTCTGACGTCATAACAAATCCAAACCACCTGGACTCACCTTCCTCCTTCAACTTCAGGATAGCCGCGTGCAGGATGCAGGGCAGCAGATGGCGCGTCAGGTCAGCCGGTTTCTGCACCGCCAAGTAGTGCAGAACCTGGAAAGACAGTGAGACCCTCGCATCACTTTCCCACGTCCATCTGCTTGTGTTGGATCCCACAGACCTCCCCAGGTCCTGAGTCTACCTTTTCGGCCTCCTTAGTGTCGTCAAACAGTCGTCTCTGGCGGCGTGCAGGTGTAACCCTGGCCGTCTCCCAAGCCTCCACCCACATGTTGCCTGGGATCTTCATCCTGGGACTGAGCTCACCTTTCACCGCTCTGTTACCCGTCTCATCGACCAGCTCCTCCTCCACGTAATCTCGCGGGGAGTACCAGCGCACAAAGTCCTCCAGGACACAGCCTGGGTTTGCTGCCTGAGAGGAGACAGCTGGCGTCAGTTTGGGTTAAAGGACCTGGTCTGCGACCACCATCTTCTCAAGAACCATGTGATGAGGAGCTGGAGATGCAAGAATCCTTGAGCTACTATTTGACCCCATAATCACAAGAAGGTCCCCTTTGGTCCCACAGTCCGTTTTTAAGTCTCCAATGCGCACAGGACGCTAATTAGCTACATGTGCATATAAATGATTGTGAATATATTAACGCGTTATAAGTGCATCACACAAAGTGGACATGGACCCTGAAGATTAAATCCACTTCACTCGGACAGGGACACGTGCTGCTGTTATTGATACATCGTCTAACTTGTCTATTAAAACTAGATAAAGGCTTTGGAGGAACTTGTGTGTATGCACACACACACAAGTTGAGCTTATAAAGCTCCTTATTTGCTCAGCGCTAACACATGTATGCTACCTATGAATAGTGGAAACGTTGTAGTTCAAAGTAGATCCGGCTCTGCAGCCTCACAGGGAGTCCATGTGGACTGGAGCTGGTCTCAGCGTCACCTTGAAGGACTCCATGTCCGAGAGCAGGCAGGCGCTCTGCATGCGAGCGCGCAGGTGGCTTCCTTCAGCCGACGTGCCCAGTTTGGCCAGAACCTCAGACTGCTCCTCCAGCAGGTCCTCCGTCATGGGAGCAGGTTCCTGGAGACACACAACGCGCACAGGTCACGCAGCTGCACGGATGTCCTTCGTCACGCCTGCTCATGTTCATCACTTCAGTGCAGTGATTTAGGTCACATGTTTTAAGAAACACACATCAGCGTTGTGTTTACTTCACTACTACAATATGTACTACATATAATATATATACACACACACACACACACACGCGAGTCATACAAGCCGAGGCGGACCTGAGTGACAGGAACGTAGAGCGGCTCGGCACAGTGCAGGAGGGTGGTGTTGTTGAAGGGGTGGAGCCGTCCCTCTGCTCGACTCTTACTGCCGTCCTTCTCCGCCTCCATGTCTCCTTGGTCACTCAGGCACTCGAAGAACTCCTCCTCGCTGTCGCTCCACGAGTCCCACGACTTCCCCGGGGACACCTCCCTGGCCGCGGTGGGCTCCGGCGGGGGCAGCCGGCGCTCTCGGCTCCCCTCCAGCACCTTGCGCGTTTCCTCTCTGGCTCGCTTCCTCTCGATGCAGCAGTTCAACATCTGCAGGACACGGGACACTTCAAACACGGACGCTTCCAGCGTCCTCGTGACGGGAGACAATTCGCGTGTGTGTCCATGATGTTATAAAGAGCTCAAAGGGACAATCTGGTACACATGCAGCTCCTGCTGGTGGCTTGGTTGCTTGACTTGACGTACGATCAGCAAACGCGTTTGGGCCTCATTTAGTCCACTTCTCACCGTCCTCAGTCCTTCCTCCTCTCCTCTTCCTCACCTGAGGTGCCGACCAGTGTTCACAATTTCTATTCCTCTGACAAATCTCTCTTGCACTTGGATAATTATTCTATAAAACACATGCTGAGCCTCTGAGTCGTTTAGTCTCAGTCAGTGGCGTCTGATGGCGTCTGATGGCGTCTGATGGCGTCTGATGGCGTCTGATGGCGAAGGCTCCTTTGTGCTTATATACACTGACATCATTACGGTTGTAAATAATAACTTGAATGGATCTAAACACAGATATGTATTTATCTGGCTGATTCTAATGGAAACCTCCAAAGCATTGAGTGAACCCACTGGTTCTGTTGGTGCCACGAGGAACTTTCTCCTATAACCTGTTGCTCTTTCATTTCTCTTGTGTATTCCTGAATAATTCCATGTAAACACCCCGTGTGGGTGTCGTATCACTGCCTACCTGGAGCTTCTGGTGCAGAAGACAACAGCGAAGGTCTGGAGGCCCAGCAGGCAGCCTGTGGGAACATGACAAACTACTTCTTCTATGGCTTCAGTGCATTTACTCTTTGTGCTTTTCGCCGAGCAGCACCAGCTTCTCTGTGCACGCTGGACCTCTGACCGGGCCGACCCACCCGTAGATGAAGTGGTTGTTCTCCCAGCGGTAGCGCAGCTCCAGGACGAACTCCTGCCAGAGGTGGGCGACGGCCCGCAGCCCGCCGTGGTTGTAGTTGACCAGACAGGCGCACAGAGCCAGCCGGTAGGTCAGACTGCTGCTGGGCGCCGACTTCAGCTGGAGGGAGAGGTTCTGGACACGGGGACGCAGAGAAGGCTGCGTCATTTAACACATAGCGCACTATCTCAGGCCTAAAGGGTCCTAAAGGGTCCTAAAGGGTCCTAAAGGGTCCACGTACACAGTCAGCGTTCTTATTCTGCTCATCTCCCCCACAGCCGCTGGGTGCATTCGTTTTATTCTTGCTGTTCTCTGGTGATTTCTCCACAGCAGCATCTGGGAAGAGATACTGAGACAGAACACACTCACATGAAATATACACTCAGAAGAGACCAGTGAGGATGGAGGAGACAAATCATGTTAAAAAGCATCTCATTTTCCTCCTGTCGTCTGTGCGAACGCATTCACCCGCTGTCACTCACCAGGGAGGGACAGGCGGATACTTTTCTATTGGCGTTGCTAAGCTTACCAGCAGGATGGAGTTGAGCACGTCCGTGTTGAGGGGCGACTCGTCGACGCGGCGGTGGCGGCGGATGTGCTTGCGGGCGCTGTGCACCATGCTGGAGACAGACAGTTTGGAGATTGGCACGGTCGCCGTTGGCTCTGTCAGCTTCGACAGCGCAGAGCTAATGTCGCTGTTTTCTACAAGGAAAGAACGTCAGATCTTTACAATCATTTCATACTGGATTCATTGTGTCGATGGAACACAACATCTTTCTTTGCTTTGTGGAGTGAGAGGCGCTGACAAACACCAGTGAATGTGCGCTGTTTAATGACAACGCTGTCCGTAACCTGACCTTTGCCCTCTTCATCGGCCAATCCTCTTCCCAGAACCTCTTCCGTCGACTCCTTCCTGCAGCAGAGCTTAAAGAACTCTGTGAGCAAGTCACCTGCATGGAAGTGTAACAACGGGTACAATAGTTCAACCATTGATGATACTGCTCAACTCTAAAAGCAGCAGATTCTCTGGTTCGGTCCAAAGGAGCTGGACCCCCACGATCAATGGCGGGCATGAAAACGGGTCACGGGTGAGAAGGTGAGAAGGGCATCGCCCCTCTAGGGGTTTTCAGCTGGTTTTGTCCCAGGGACCATGTTTTGCGTACCGACGAGGGGGGGGTGGGAATTGACAACAACTAATAGGGGACACGTCATTAAATACTCGTCATGCATCATATTGCATTGCATATAATATGTGCTGGTCAACTAGTCTAATTCATTTTAGACAAACGTTTGCGTAGTTTAGAGACAAATGGTACCAGCGTACTTTGAACAGGTTGGCAGGTTCGCTTATTGATAGAACGGTGGAGCACTTTACCTTCTGCCTCGTCAGCCTCACCTCAACATCTACCTCCTCAAGAACGCAGCGTTAGCCAACGCTGCGTTAAATGACTCAACTCATCAAGCTGTAGCTAACGTTAGTTACGTCTGTGTGAACAAAGCTCCTGGGGAACTTAACTTAGATAGACTAGAACATATTGAAACCATCACTCACCCTGTTCGCAGTTTACTGAGCACGAATACCCCCCCAAAAAAACATAGAATCTACAAGATTCACGTAGGTCACCTATTTTGGTTTCAAGGAGACGGGACGTCCTGTACGACAACTACTGTTATCAGAGGAGCTCAGAGAGCTGTGATGCAGAATGAGAAGTTAAGGCCAGCTGAACTCAGCAGACTACGAAATGACCCTTCAGAATCCACAAAGCGTATTTAACAAAAAAACTGGTGAGAGAAAATGTCTGGCTTTGCAATGAAAGTTCCGGTTTGTAAGTGAAGTTATCACATCATCATATCGTTTTGCAGCCAAACATCCAAATCTGAGAAATGTATTCTAAGGGTTGATGTTTTTACTTGATTGCAACGCAAGAAATCTGCTCTCAAAACTGTGTTTGTTTGCATATGAAGACAAATAAACCTTGGTATCAATCAAAGGGTCATTGCAGGTCCCAGTGGGCCTGAGGAGGACGGCTCAGCATGGGACGCCTACTTCTAAACAGCACGTGTGAAAGAGCATCGCCTGATCTCCACGTCGCTCACTTACCCAGGAGACACTGGGGGTTTTCAGCTGAGCGGATCCGGACCGACCAGTGAGGAGCTTGGAGAGGGTCGAGGTCGCTGCCGGGTCACACAGAGACACACACAGAGACACACACAGAGACACAGAGAGACACAGTAAGAGGACGCGTTATGTGGTTGAAGCACATGGATATCGTGTCACACATGATGACTGTTCTCCCTTAAAAACAACATTTTAATGACACTGGGACGAATATGCTGTGACTGCTGCATTGTTCATTGATCACACAAGAGGGTCGATGCATAAACGTCTCTGGTAGCAGCAGCGACCTGTCAATCAGCGTGTTGTGCAATCAAATCCATGTACTAGAATCCACTTAAATATCCACGATAGAAATGTTGCATCAGAACATCACAGCTTGGTTGTTTTTAAATACACATAAAACGTGAGAACAAACTGCTCTTTGTCCCCCTGGTGGACACTTTAGACAATGCAGGTTTTAAGAGCAGGAGCTGAAGAAGTCTGTGTGTCAGCAGGTGGAGGCCCTCACACCGTTACCTGTACACGTCGTTGTCCACAACGATGCCCTCCGTCAGGTGAGGCCAGGTGGCTGCAAGGTGAAGCTCACTGAAACATCAAAAACAGATCATTGGATAACAAAGTGCTCTTCTGTTCATTCACATCCAGCCGGGTGGTTTCTTGTGTAGTTGCCTTTACCCGATTGGCTCTTCGCAAGCTCCAAACGGAAGCTTCCCAAATTCCACGCCTCCCACCTCACCGCCAAGGAGCGTGTCAAAGTCTGCAGGGAGCCAAATCAACACACAACAGTGGTCATCACAAGGGAACGCGGGTAGGAAATCCTCCCCAGTGGGTCCGCCGGGTGTTACACCTTCATCCCGACATGAACGCTCACGCTCGTTGGCTCCTCGGCCACGTGATCCCGCGTGTCCGTGTCTTGCTGCTGGAGTAAACACCACGTGTACTCCAGCAGCAAGAGACGGAGACACACCAGCACACTGCAGCACCTCCAACACCTGCCTCATACCAAGAGGGGTTTGCTATCCCCACCTGGAGGCTGCTGCGGCCACGAGTGCTGCTGCCAGTCCTGGAGAATGTAGGTGAAGCGGATGGAGATGTTGATCGGAGGCAGAGGGGAGAGGGTACAACCCTGAGGGGAAGACAGAAGGAAGCGATTGGTGAAGCAGCGCCATCTACATCCCCATTGGTTCCACAGGAGGAATTATCATTTATAGGGTCAATTACCAGCACTGTGTTAGGTAGAGTCCCTCCCCGTTTTAGCATGATTATCTTCCCTTTACACATCCTGCTCCTGAAGAAATAAACCTTTGCGTAGTTGTGACAGGTACAGCTCGCAGCCTCGTGACCATCGGTCGGAGTTAAACAAGGGGGCTCCACAATCGCATCACCCAGGGGGCCAAAAAGCCCCTGTGGGGGACGTACCGTGGTACTGGAGACCCCCGGTCGCCTCCTTTTGTACCCCTGACACAAGTATTTGGTTTGTCCCTTCAGGGCTCCTGTAGGACATGAGGACTGAGGCAACGCACACAGCTGATGATTTAACGCTGACAATAAATGTAACAGACTATGCCTTTAAACATTCTAGTTACCAACATCTAGAAAAAAGGGCCAGTCCATCCAGGAAATAAAATGACACTAATAATGTCCCCTGTGTATGTTCAGCACGTCACTCATAAATGTGGTCAAGTATTTAGATGAAACGTCACTCTGGTTTGATTTGAATCGATTGAACCAGTAGATGGAACAAGTAGATGGAACAAACGTACTATCTTGGACTTGAAGACGTCGAGCAGGCCGGACAGGTGGTTGTACTGGCTCGGCACCTTGCGCAGGTGGACCATCTCGTAGTCGGTGCGCACACCTGGACCCTGGCACTCTCCCGCATACACGCGCCTCCACTTCTGCTGGATCTGAACAAACACGGGCACCTGGCTGAGGGCACAGGAGCAGCAGGATTACAGCGGCTCCGAGGCAGCGCACAACGCTCCACCCGCTAACCCTGATTCACCACCGTATCTGGACCTGGACCCAGACATGAGAGCACATAGCTGCTGAATGTCCAACTGTCCTACATACGTGTGACAAACACGGCTCAAAAGAATTAAGCAACACATCAGGTCTCGATGTGAAACATACTGATGTTGGAGATCTATGATGACGTGGACAGTTTAATGTCTTCGGGACAAAAGGATGGCGCATCTTCTGATGCACGCATGCTCCTAATGAGACAACGGATGGCGTCTTGTGGGACGTCCTCCCAGATCCGCCTGAGGCCTTCAGTGAGCTCCCACACAGAATGTCCCGGAGGCGTTCAGTTACATCAATTCCTTGGTCCTCCAGCTACTGCCTGCAGACTCTTGCCACGCGCAGGGGTACAAGTCCTCTGGTTCTAAGGAAGGCGGCCCCAGCAGGGGGTCTTCCTCGGCCAGCACTCACCTGCCGCTGTTGGCCAGAGAAATGGAGATGGAGCTAAGGAGCAGATTGCATTTGGACTCGCTGGTGATCGCCTCACAGTTGGTTCCAGGGGAGATGACCACAAACTCTCGTATGCCAAACCTGTCAAAGAGTCAAAGCCCAACATGTCAGCGTCACGTTGATGCTGCATTACATAATGTCCTTCATGGAGTAAGACGGTCAATCACCATCAGCTGTGGTAGAAGTCAGAGGAGATGGAAAAAGGTATTTGTACACATAATATAAAGCATATATTTAGTCTTAGTCAACATAAGCTTTACAGCAGGTAATGTAAAGGGCTACGGGCAGAGTAGTGGAGGGGTGCATGTCCCAGGAGACACACCTGGACCTCCTCTCATCAAGGGGCGCTACAAAGAGAAGTAGAGGTGAAGGGGAGAGGACCTGGGTAAGCCGGAGATAACCCTAGTTATTGGTTTTGTTTGATTAGAACTGCTCCAACGACACGCTCCGCCTCTGGACTGCAGCGCTGCCATTGATTGAATCCTCTGTGCCATCCGGTTAGTGTTTTCATTCAAAATCAGATGTAATAATCATGGAGTAGGACTTCCCTGCCATTAACCCGGCCATCGAAGCTCTGATTGGTCGACTGCACTTTAACCGTGAGGAGCTTTGCCCACTTAATCATAATCCATTTAAAAGGACCAACTGATGACGATCCCAACGTCCAGTCAGTCGGGCTTGACATGAGACAAATAGAACAGGGGGTAAACGGTGACCCTCGTCCCATAGAAGGTCGGCGCCGGCTGAAATCTTACTACTGAAAGCCCACGGTGGTTGGAAACATCGGTCACCCGCGGTTTCTCTGGGTAAAACATAAAGAACAATAGCACTCACCATCTGACCAGGCAGTGGGCTCGAGGAGGAAAGTCATTGTTCATGCACAGAAGGTCCTGCATTGCCACTGGGAAGGCATCTGCATCAGAGAACAATGTTGGGAATATAGAAATGTAAAGTGTACAAAGACTAAATGTGAACATTAACTTCAGTGCATTAGGGGAGCTTCATATTACTATTCAACACACGCTTACCGTCCTCCAGCTGCTCCTTCCCATCGTCCTGCTCACACTCTTGCTTCAGGAAGTGATGACTTATGTAGAACTTAAAGTCAGCAAATTGGATGTCCTGAGACGTCTCCCCCCAGGAGCCACTGGTGAATTCCCCCTGCGATGAAGGACGCAGCGTCACACCAGCGGGACGCTGCTCACCGGCTCACTGGCGGCCATATGGAAAGTTCCGTACGTACCTTCTGTGGGGTGGAGCTTCCTGCACGGCTCCCAATCAGCTTCCAGTCATTCAGCACCTCCTCCAATCTGGATACGAACCTTCGAGCAGATCAACCAGTGGATGCGTCAGCAGCGTCGCTGCTCCGATCAACACTGTGCTTTTAATCACGTAGGCTAATACTTTGGTGAAGGTTCCTCACGCAGTGAAATGACCCGGACGGAAAGGAGCTTCCATGCTTCCCCACTCAGCTCCTTTAGCATAGGAACCCCTGGACCGCCCATTACGAAAGGACGGAAATCCGTCCCACAATTCCTTGCGGCAGCAATGTTTAAATAGTGACGAATCATTGGGTCGCATGTAAGTAACCGTTAGCAGAACGCTTATTTCCTTGTTAAAGGAGTTCAAGCAGCCTGTAATAATGTGCGATCAGGACTAGTGGTACAATGAGTGTGTGTACGTGTTTTATCACCTCGTCTCACCCAGAAACGCTGTCTGGATGGTGGACAAACTAATCCAATCCACTCGGCCCACATGAATGACACTTTGATATCACAGGGCTAGAAAAGCTTTAAATCAAATGGGCCACTTCTTAACACGCGTACATGCAGGAGACCAGAAGGGGCTGAAAGAAGAAAGACATTGGACGAGGATGCTGCCAAATGTGCTGAGATTACAGATTTATTTTCACCTGGTAAAGTGAGACAGACTAAAGGCCGCCGCGTGTTTCTGCGTCTGCGTCGACGCACTGGTTTCACTTCCTGGTTGTAAAGTCTCGCGTGTGTTGCAGAGCGATTCACCTCCAGAACAACAGGTGGAGTCACGTGTTTTGTTGAAGACGACCTGGAGAGTCACGTCTTTGTGTGTGGAAGTCGCTGGTTGCTTTATTTATTGATCATAGACTTTATTGCCCCGTGCATCCACACTGCTGCTTTTCATCAAGGACACATTTGTCCCGTATTTTCCTCCACGACTTTGTTCCCCTCGTTTGTGGAGATCTCCCTCCATGAATCAGAGGCCATCCGGCGTCCTCATAGTCCGCCAATGACGGCTTGTACAAGCGCTCATATTTAAAAACTCTTCAATCTGATCCGTTCTCTCGTAAACGTTCTTCCTTTTAATAACGGCCGTATTGTGCTGTGAAAACGGAGACGTGAGACTCTAAAGGACGTAGTCAGAGACCAATCACAGCCTGCTGCTGCAGGACGCTGCGTCGCTTTAGACGCTAGTCTACAAAAATCGACGCACGCAAGGAGGAGTGAGAAGACACGCGAGGAGGAGTGAGAAGACACGCGAGGGACACGCGAGGGGCTCTTGCGTGTGCGTGTCCTTGTCTCTCTGAAAACACAGAAGCATAAACTAGGCTTAATGATTAGCAACGTAACTATTCGGCTATCGTTGTAGGGTTGTCAACCGATTCACAAGCAAGGTACTAAATTGAATTAAAATATTTGCCTTTTTAGATCACCCACTAAATGATGATCCATATACTTTGCAAATATTGAGCACAAAAGTCAAACTTTATCTGTGTAGAAACATGCACAGAGAAGACAACATGAATTAAAGAGCAGTGTGTGACAGTACTTTATGAACCAATATGCATGGGTTGCTCAGAAGTGGGTAAAGGAGTAAATCACAATAGCCATGGAGAAAAATGACCACGACGGCCCCCATGAGGTCTCATTCCAACCAATCTGGCCTACTGCCTAATCTGAGCTACTAAAGAACACATCAGACAAACACGGCATTGACGTGTGTGTGGGAAACTGCCCTGGTGCTGCAGCAAACATGCAGGGACTGTATAAAGGGTTCTCTGCATTCCTGTCTGACAGTCTCCAACAGGTGTTATGCACAGGTTGTAAATCTGGTACCGGCAGACCCAACAGGTAGTGTCCTAGTTGGTGCATCTCTCTCCTTAATGATCCTCTCCTCGGGGAGTCTTATAAACGTATGCAGTCTTGGGAAGAGAGAAGTGAGGACAAACCTCACAGGAGCCCAACAGGACCAGACGCTCACTGAGGTCTTTGGGTGTTAATACCCAGGAAGCAACAGAAGACGGAGAATAATAGAAGTCAACAGCGAGGGTCAAAGCAAAGGGATTCATTGAAAATCTTCTGAAATATGAGATTATCCTCTTTGCTCAAACTTTCCATTGCATTTTTCAACATACATCCCCCTCTCCTGCAGACACACAGAACGGATCACATTGTGTCAGCCTGGCGTGTGGTTGAGGGGACGAAGCCTTTGGACTTTGAGGGGGTGAAAGTGCAGCTGATACGTGTGAGTTGGGCCGATGAAAAGCTGGACGATATGGACAACTATGCGCTGGTTGTGCAGACTACACCTGCACAGGAGCCTGTCCGAAAAAGGGAAACAAAGATTTAAGATGATCCGGTGCTGCCTTTGAGTGTCCATAACGTTACTCTGGACACCAGCTAGCATGAATGGGAGGTTCCCAGATTTCGCTCGTCTTGCCCCTAGAAACTTCCCTGAAATGAAGATAGATGGTTCTGACTCAGCACTCACCTCGTGGGGGTCATTTACCTTTACACTACTTGTTGAGCCACGATTCATCTTAAAAAACTCATTCATACAATTTCCACCAGCATGGAAAAAGAGGGTCGGCCACACGAGGCTGTTACGGGTTTATTTCCAGTCCGTCTCTGACCACCGCGCCCCCCACAACCCACAACCACGACCGGAAGTCTACTCTGGTGGATGACGCGCTCCCGTCCACAATGAGCCGTTAACCATGACGTCACATGTCGTCATGGTTTGGCTGAAGCCGACCGATCATTTCAAACCCGCGTGTGTCATGGCGGCAGCTCATAATACTAACGTTAATAATAATAATGATAATGATAAGTCCATATCGGTGTGCAAAGGGAGCCTGAACTAGCGGCTCGTCGCCGGTGTCACTCACCGTTCCCACTCGGACGCGGTGGTGAAGTCGGTGATCTCGAACACCTCGGACTCGGGCTGCAAGAGAAGAAACACTTCTTAAGGCCACGAGACGCCACGCTGGCCTCGTGCAGCGAGCTGAAGTTGAGTAAACTCACATCGCTGTCGGCGGCCATGTCGGTGTTGTTGTTATTCCTCTGCTTCCGGTGTCCTGTTTCCGGTTGTGCGGACGCTAACCGGCGGTCCGTTTTACCGTAAAAACATAAAACGAAAACACTGTTGTTGTTGTTTTTCGTTTTAAATCAAAACGAGAAAACGGATGAGGGCACTCGTTTTCTCTTTTTTAATTTAGAATCACAAAACGAGACAAGCTGACAACGTTTACATCCGGAGTTTTGCCCATAAAACGAAAATACGAAGCGTAGCCGCTAAACCGGAAGTACGTAGATTTTCACAGTAAAGGTCGACGCAATGGAACGTTTGAATGCCAGAAATCAGTCTGCGCTGTTACCAGGGTAACGGTCATTAAATATATGCACACGGCGATACTCATCGGTTCAAGGAATATAGTTGATAATGTTGATAATAGAGCTAATAATATAGTTAAACATATTGGTTCAATCAAAGTGGTTTGCGGTCGCACACTCGCATTGTGTCGCTTCAGTGAACAGAGCAGAGCGAACGTGTTCACATCTCCACCACTAGGTGGCAGAACACGTGCATTCAAACCATCGATTTAATTATATTGAACTGTGTTAGGGTTATTTAATGCTGTTTATTTTATGTGATTTTTAGGGTTCATTGTTCATCTTGTTATATTTATCTAATTTAAGAACCAAACATGCCTCTAATGAAGAGGGATTACTTGTCACAATGTAACGCAGAGCTGCCAACTTTTCAAAAAACCTTGGAGTGAGATTTTGTCGGGGGTGTCCAAACATTTTGCCGTGCACGCAGCCACACACGTTGGTGGCTCATATATCAGGAAATTGGAATTCACTTGGCGTAGTACCCGTGTTGTACGCTGCACTCTGGTGGTTTGTGGGGCCCAAAGTGGTTGATAGGGGCGGCCTGCTGGAGATGGACACTGGTTACATTCTGTGAAGCAGACAAAGCTGAAGGTTCCCCCCCAGGACATGTTGGTTTAAGTAGATGTTATTTCATGCATTCTAGTGTATTTTTGGGTGGTCTGCCTGAACTTATTCTGATTCATGTTCATCTGCTCATGACTTGTGGGGCCTTCTAGACTTGAGCTGAACATTCAACCAGAACACTATTGCTGCGCCTCAATGACTGTCTATGTACCACAATATAGCCTAATTAATACACCTGTGTTTAAGATTTGACCAATTTAGGTTGATTGACATTTTGATTACAATGGTATTTAACTAATTCTTAACTGAAACCTCACCTATACTGTTAATAATTGCATTATTAAGAGCACTTAATGTTTTATGCTCAGCAAAAAATGACAAATGCTATGTGAGCAGCCTTAATAAACAACGCTATGATGTTTTGAGCATGCAGTATATACGAGGTTAACAAGGTTCTCTCCTGCTGCTTCGTATCAATTCAATTCATTTTATTTTGTAGAGCCCATAATCGCAAATTACAAATTTGCCTCAGAGGGCTTTACAGTCTGTACACATACAACATCCTCTGTCCCGAAACCCACCATCGGCACAGGAAACACTCCCCAAACAATGAAAAAACCCTTACAAGAGGGAAAAAAGGGAAGAAACCTCAGTGAGAACGTCAGAGGAGGATCCGTCTCCTGATGGACGACTACAATGATGCCATGTGTACAGAATGAACAATGTAGAATACATGAGACTATATGACGGAATGTTTCAAGTAACTGTGAGTAGTAAAGCAGACGCACAGCAGGACCACTGCAGGGACCACCACCATCACATAGAACCACCATCACATAGAACCACCGTCAGATAGAACCACCGTCACATAGAACCACCATCAGATAGAACCACCGTCACATAGAACCACCATCAGATAGAACCATCATCAGATAGAACCACCATCAGATAGAACCACCATCACATAGAACCACCATCACATAGAACCACCATCACATAGAACCACCATCAGATAGAACCACCATCAGATAGAACCACCATCACATAGAACCACCGTCACATAGAACCACCATCACATAGAACCACCATCAGATAGAACCACCATCACATAGAACCACCATCACATAGAACCACCATCACATAGAACCACCATCACATAGAACCACCATCCACAGAAGCATGTGGGGAGGGAGAGCACAGAGACTTTAGCAGAGGGTAATGTTGGTTTATGAGTACAGTAATATGATTAATATCTAAAATAATGATGATGATGATGATGATGGCAGCAGCAGGCGTCAGCAGGGCCACGGCAGGTGTCAGGACCAGGGTCCAGAAGGCACCACGATCTACGGAGACCTGATAGGGGAGAAAACACAAAAAAACTCCCGGAAAGAAGCTGAATTAGTCATGTGCATTAATACAACGTGGATTATGGTAGAACGAGAGCACAGTATCACAGTTTACATTCACCACTCAAACTCACACGCACAAACACAACTAATCATTTCTTTCCAGATGTAAAGTTTAAGAGAGTGAGTACTTAATTGAAGCACATGTCATTAACGTACCTTAGTCTTTGCTCCTCCTGAGTTTCTCCCGTGGTTGTGTCTGTTTGAAAACCTTCTTCTGTTGATAACTTGGGGACTCTTTGGGGTCAACAGGATGTCTGTGCAGCGAATAGGTTTACAGACGCGCTGCTTAGCGCCTCAGTTTGAAAAGGAACAAACGCACTTTGGCCCAAAATCAGATTATTTTTTGGGGTTTCTTTATATTATACATTAAGAATAATTAACCCACATCATTATTTGTCACACTTCAATCCTGAATTGAATGGTTAAACCAAAGAGGTCAAAGGATGAGAAGATCTAATGTTGGCAAAAGGCTGTATTCCAAAGAAAATGACTTCAGGGCCCTGTTCTTCGTACGTGGTTCAACTAAGTCGATCAAATGTCCGATTACCGAGATGATTGACATCAGGCAACTCGGTTCCTCGAAGGCGGATCGGCGCTCAAACCGTCTCATTAGTTTGAACCAGATGTCAATCATCTTACGTCAGAAGGCGGAAGAGTCGATCACTGAAACCAGGATTTTTTAACAGTATAACGGCAAATAAAGGAAGCGTGTCTTTCTTCTCCGCTGACGAGCAGGAGATGATCATGAACACATATGATGAGATAATCTGTATTTGAATCATTTCTGTCAGATGAATTGAACGTATTATACATATTTTACGTTGTTCATTGTGTACGTCCATCAGTCTGTCCGTCCCTGGAGGATCGTCCTGTGTCTCTAAAGGTTTCTTCCCTTTATTCTCCCCATCAAATACTTTTTCCTGTCGATGTGACGGTTTCTGGACAGAGGACGTCACATGTGTACACACTGTAAAGACACATGAGGCACAAATAACATTAAATGAATCATATAATCATGGCAGAAACTGACAGCGCCCCCTGGAGGCTACAAGCCCGACGAAGTATCACACAACTTAACGTTATGCGTGTTGGTAAAATGTAACGGCTCATTTAAGGCCTCGTCACTCTAATCAATCAGATTATATTTAAATGTGTCTGTTTGCAGGAGGCTTCATGATGATCATCATCCAATGAGAATAAAGATCTCAACTCTTTCAGAGTATGTCGATGAAAACAAGCCCAAAGAATCAGATTGATACGAATGAATAGGATCTATGTATCATGTTATGTATCTCGGAGAAGTCTCTCCCTATAAAACGTTTATCTGATGTCGCTCCTTCATCAATGAGGAGTGAAGAACTGATCCAGCAGCCTGAACAACTCATCTCATCCTGACAAAGATCCGGCTAACTCAGTTAACCACGTACGAGGAACAGGGCCCAGTTTTATTGCCTCAGATTTGTTGCTATTTCGAAAAAAATAAGCCTTAAGTTATCACTGATTGATACGTGAGCGGTATCAACAAGAGGTGGGCTCACCAACACACATGTCACACTTTGGCACCAACAAAGCGCCCAGAAGCAGAAAGCAGCAGAGTTGGAATGTGCTTTACCCAGATGTTAGCTGGACAGTGCTCTCAATAATTTGCCACAATTTTTCAAGATGGACTCAAATGCCTGATTGGTGTTACAATAAGACATTGTCAGCACTTGTTATCTTTCATCTACTTGTAAACAGGACAAATATAGAATGTGAAATGATGTCATGACCACCATGTTTCACTGTTGGGATTGTGTGCTCAGGGTGATGGGCAGTGTTGGGTGTCAACCACATACAACGTTTGGCATTGAGGCCAAAACGTTCAGTTTTGGTCTCATCTGACCAGATCACCTCTTCCACATGTTTGCTGTGTCTCTCACAAGGCTTGTGGCAAACTAAAAATGGGATTTGTTATGGTTCTTTCAACAGCGGATTTCATCTTGCCACACATTCATAAAAGGACATATTTATGGAGGACATGGCTAACAGTTGTCCTGTGGACAGATTCTGCTCCTCAGCTGTGGATCTTTTTACCTCCTCCAGAGTTACCATGGGCCTCTTGGTTGCTCCCGATTAATTTACTCCTTTTGTGTCATGTCAGTTTGGGTGGACCCCCTTCTCTTGGTAGGTGTGGGATTGTGCCATATTTTTTATAACCTAACCCTGCTTCATACTTACTGTAGCTCCTTGGTCTCCATAATGCTCTTTGTTCAGAAATGCTCTAAAGCAAACTGAGGCCTTCACAGAACAGGTGTCCTCATGTCGACCCTATTTACACATGTGATTTGCAAATGTGACTTGTGAAGGCAACTGTAGTAGTCATGAAGTCTTATGAATGGCTTCTCCTGTCCCACCTAAAAACCCTGGAGATGGTTGTGGATTTCAGGAAGAACGCAGTCCCACCTTCCCCCGTCACCACTGTGGATTCCTTCTGTTTCCTGGGCTCCATCATCCCCCAGGACCTCAAGTGGGAGCTGAACATCAGCTCCATCACCAAGAAGACTCAGCAGAGGTTGTTCTTCCTGAGGCAGCTGAAGAAATTCAACCTGCCAAAGACGATGATGGTCCACTTCTACACGGCCATCATCGAGTCCATCCTCTGCTCCTCCATCACCGCCTGGTACGCTGCAGCCACAGCCAAGGACAAGGGCAGGCTGCAGCGTGTCCTCCGCTCTGCAGAGAGGCTGATCGGCTGCAATCTGCCGTCCCTGCAGGACTTGTTCGCTTCTAGGACCCTGAAGCAGCTAAAAAGATGGTGGCCGACCCCTCTCACCCCGGACATAAACTGTTTGTGCCCCTTCCATCTGGCAGGAGGCTGAGGTCCATC